ATCTGCATGAAAAGGAGTCTTAGAAGAGAAAGGAAATAATTAATTTCCCCCATTAATACGAGACATTACCCTCAGACACACACAGTCCTTCATACTTGTCAAAACCCTTTCCTGCCCATCTCTGAGCAGCTGCAGAACAGTGACAGATGACAGCCACCTTGATACCACAGGATGTCTCCGTTCCTGAGCCTGCACTGTCAGGACCCCAGAGAAGGCCAGGGCAACCGAGGTCACATCAGATGCTCCTACTCCCCAAGTCATATCAGGTGTACTACCTGCCCCGAGTGCCTTCCCAGCAAAGGAAGCCTGGGAGTCTACAGGTGTAGCTGGCACCTGGAGAGTGAAGGCCACAGAGCCCTTAGTGTACTAACCAGGGGGGTCATCTCAGTCATCCTTGTACAGGAGCGTCCCCTGGAAAGGCTGATCTGGGGCTCCCTCTGAGGCCAGTGCAGTCAATCTGTGAGCATGGGCACAAGGTCTGTTGTAAAGTGTTCTTTGGCTGATTCCTGTGTGCCCCCTAAAGGAGACTTCTAGGCACTTCCTCCTAGACCTCACCACCCATTGGTTCCTTGACTGTTTCTTCTACTTCCCCTTCCACCAGACAAAACCCTTCACATCCTTTCATCTTTGGCTTTTCTCCTCGTAAAATAAAACACCAAAAAACAAACCAAAAAAAACCAGTGAATCAGAATTGATCTTTCTGGACACGCCCACTGGATGACTTACTTGAGTCCTTCTCTTCTCCTGTCATCTTCAGCTGTCCCATCAGAACAGGGGAACGACTCAGGAAACTCACCATTGGCGGGAAATGCCTTTGTGCCCCCAGCTACTGGGAGCATCATCAATGTACTCTTTCCCCCTCTAGACTCTCAGTTGACTTTCACGGTAACACATGGATCTTGTCATTAAGCTCCAGGGAAGGAGGCCAGCAGGCAGCCTGGATCCGGCTAAGCTGCTCCTTCCTTGGGGAAGGTCCCGGTGGCCTCGGCCTGAGAAAGGTTATCTGAGCCCAAGACAAGGAGCTTCTGTCACTGCCAGCGAGTGAGATGTTGACCCAGAGGCTCAGTATCCAAACCCAAATGACTTTAGCACAAGTCCATCGCTTGGATTAATTAAGGGAAAATGAAACAGTGGACTTATCACACTTTTCATTAACTTCAATGCAGTGAAGGGATGCCTCTGGGAGCTGCGAGCAGGCAGGGATGGAGTGTACTGCTGTCCACACGCCCTGGTTTAATTAAGGAGGGGGAGCCCCAAGGTGCTTATGGCCAGCAGTAGTCTGAGAGTCAAGGGTTGGAGGGCAGGAACTGGCAGAAACAGGAGAGATTAAGTAAGTGGAGAGGGAGAGTGTTTTTTGTTTTGTTTTGTTTTTTTGGGGGGGAGGGGGGCTCAGAATTTCCAAGCCTGTAGCCACCAGTAGAGTGAACAAATACTGTAGGTTTATCTTACACTAGATGCACAAGGAGTTCAAAGAAGGAGAAAGTGCAATTCCTTCTCGAAGCAGGTCAGACACATGCACCTAATTATCTGGCATTTGATGCCAACTTTCCAAGCCAGGATTAATATGCTCATCTATAAGAGCCCCTGTGCTGGACAGTAGGCAAACTTCTTGCATTTCCAGAAATACTACCATGTGAGCCAGATGGACTCTTGGGTGCTCACCTCTCCCCACTCGCACCGGCTTCCTTCCGGCTGCTGGTTTTCTCCTCCAGCTTTCTTGTTCATCCGAGTTCTTCCTATGGCATTTCTCCCCCTTGCCTTTTCTTCTCTGTGTAGATGCCTCCTTGAACTCTGGTCCTCTTCCCCCCATTCCCATACTCCTGCTCATGTTCTCTATGGCACCTGCACCCAGGCATGTGCCACTGAGTCACCAACTGACAGGTCTCCTGGCAAAAGCTGTGATGGGTGCTGACATTTAACCTCACAAAGTAACTCCTGTAGGTAGAGCAGCTGCTTTCCATGGCTCATGAGAAGGGATGGTGAGCTGGGGGCACCTAGGACAGTGATGGCGAACCTATGACACGCGTGTCAGAGGTTACACACGAACTCATTTTTTTGGTTGATTTTTCTTTGTTAAATGGCATTTAAATATATAAAATAAATATCAAAAATATAAGTCTTTGTTTTACTATGGTTGCAAATATCAAAAAATTTCTATATGTGACACGGCATCAGACTTAAGTTAGGGTTTTTTCAAAATGCTGACATGCCGAGCTCAAAAGGTTCAACATCACTAACCTAGGAGGCAACTTTAATCACGTCAAAGGGTTTGCCAGGCAGGGTTTGCCCCACTAGTAGGACAACTTTCTGGACTATGTGAATCATCTAGCTCCTGTTTCCCTACATTCTGTCAGAGAACATATTGTAGTCTTGCAGCCTATCTCTTTAAGATCCCTTCTGAATGTGTTTTCAGAATGTTTCCCACAGCACCCAGGCCACTTTGCCTGCAGCTGCCTTTCCTTCCTTCCTCACAACAGTGCAACTTTCCTCCTCCTCTTCCCCCTCCTCCTCCTCCTTTTCCCTCTCCTCCTCC